TACTTTTGCTTAAAGGTTTTTAACTGCTTTTTAAGGTTATATTTGTATGTTTTAGAAGAAAATAAAATATTCTGATTTCTAACCCTATTCAAATGCTATGTTATATTGTGGACTAGCTTTAAAATAAATGAAAACAAAAATCTATATTGTCTTGATAATTTGTCCTAATATGCTGGGACAGTATAAAGTAATTTATTTCGAATGACCGTTAATAGGTTGTAAGTAATAGCACCTGTTATCATTAGTGTCCTCATATTAATTTATTTACTGGAGGAAAAAATCTTTTGGTGATATATCTTTTTAACAAGTTCTGATTCTCCATATTCAAAACTTTTGATTGGCTGCATGTACTATATGTGTAATTAATTCAAATAATATATATATATATGTAAATATATAAACTTTTTATAAACAACTTTAAAACTCAAGAAAGACTCACATTTCACAGATTTCAAAACATTTTGAAAGACACTGGCTAATTTAACCAAGAAAAACAACGTAATTAATATCAGAACAGAATGTGTAATAACAACTGCCTTTCAGCAACATACAACACAAAACTGTAGTGTATTTTATCAAAGACAAACAGTGACAGTACAATGGCCTGCCAGCAGCAAAGAGTAGTGCTTTTATAACAGCCTTCAAGTAAATCTGGTGATATTATACCTTCCATTAGTGTGTAGAAAGTGTAATTTAGGCTGTGTTTTAATTGTTCAATTCTTGCTCCTGTATGCTGTGAATGTGGTGTTATACTGTCTTCTGCTAAGCGGAGAATTAAGAAATACAAACACTGTCTTAACCAGCTCTTTATAACTACCACAGCTGACATTACATGTGTCGCTTGTCTACAAAGCTTTGAAAGTAAAATTAGTTAAAAGACATTCTGAAGCAGGGCAATGGTTTTGACTTTAAAATGTATTTGAATATGTTTTAAAGCTTTTCCTACTGATAAAGTCCTCCCCCACCATGGCCATTCATGCCACAAAAAAGTAGTTAAGTAATAAATAAACAATTAAATGACAGAAAAGTTCCTGTTATCTGCTGTAGAAAATTCTCTCTCTCTTTTTTTTAATTTTTTTTTTTACAATGGCTCTACAAGAATAATAAAAAAGCTTCTGTTCAACAATTACAGACAGTAATTGAGAATTGAGAAACAAATTGAGATGTTCTGTTGAAATTGCTCCTCTTTTTCATATATTTACTGGGCTTTTTCACATGAATAATTAGTTTGACATGTCTGCGCTGTACCATCGGGGTTCTGATCACTCCCCAGATCATTCTGCAGTACTCCTGCAACACCAGATACACAGTTGGAGAGAACCGCGCACCTCAGGTAGAACAGATGGCCGTTACAACCCCCCCACAGTCTGACACCTTCCATCAGGGAGTCAGGCTGATGCTGAGGATGCCTAAAACCACAGAAGTATGAATCAATCAATTCTTTAGAAATTAGTCATGGAAATATTTTTTGAACTATCACACTCTATTCTCAACATTAATCAGGCACTTGAATCCTCTTTTGCTAGTTTTATCTGTAACAGGTCACTGCTGCAGGTTGTATACTGTATATATGTGTCAGTGTTCTGCCTTGAAATGTTATGACAGTTGCAACCACTGTGTTGGAGTTCGGATATTCTGTCTGTGCCTCCGTGGGTTTCCTTCTACAGTCCAAAGATGTACATGTTAGGTTCGTCTGTCCCTTTGTGTCCTCGCTGTCTGACTGGTGATCTGTCCAGGATGTGCTACTTCTTGCCAGGTGTCAGCTGGTATAGCTGGTGAAGAAAATAGATGGATGAATGGATGGATACTGTGGCATAATTATATTTACTGCACAACACAGCCCTACGCACAGCAGTCATTTTGATGAATCATAGCAGGGAAAGCACAGGCGTTATTAAGAACATCAATCACTATTTCATTTAGCTATCTAGATTGTGGATATTTGCTCCAGCTATCCGGCTATCTGTTCAGTAGGTACGGGGAAATTTGCCAGACTAAATAAATAAGAAAACTGAAATACTGATTTGGTCTTCCAGCAATGAACAATTCTTTCCAGATTATGCAAAAGTTCAACAGAAGAATGTGAAAAAAATGGCAAATCTCAGGATCTCATGTTTACAGTGTGACAGCTATGTAGACAGACAAGGCTGGAAGCTACATATCATACTGTAGATACACCAAGTAGACTGAATACAGGAGTATTTAATACATTTGTATTGGATAAAATGTGGTGTAGTGTGATGCAGTGCCTGATAATCTTTTGATTACTGTAATACATGAAAGTTATATTGAAAAGTTATAAAGGACATAAATAAACAGTGCCACAGAAATACTCAATTTATGTTAAACCCACACAATGACATTTTACAAAAGCAATGGTACAGTAAAATACTAGGTATTTTATTGTAAATGTTTTTATACATAATTTTATTTTACTAAACAAAAGCAAAAGCTTTTTTAAGCTCATCAGACAGGGGTAAAACTCTTACTTAGGCCAGTCTTAAAGAACCAACCTTATGTACAGTATTATATTGTCCATAAACATGTTTTATTACACTGAAATGTGTTCATATGCGATCTATGCACATTTTACAAGTTTGGTTTGTCTCAAAATGACTTGAATGGTTCTCTCTCTCTCTCTTTTTAGGCTGCTCTGGTTTGCCATATCCTGCACAGCACAGCCAACCATGTCCTTCACTAGGTGGCGGTAAAGCGCTGTGTCGCTTCAACTTAACTTCAAGCTTTTAACAAGAAGGTTTGTCCTAACGGGCCACCGTACTTACTTGGGCGTTCAGGAGGAAACATGGCGGCCACCCTGGCAAGGAGGCTGTCCGGTGTGTAACTGCAGTTTGACATTAATACAGTTTTATTTCACCCTCTTGATGCGGTGCTTGTTTATCATCTGTGTGTTACCGAGCAGTGCTGTTCAGTAACACATACAGAAATAGCTGAATTCGGTTTTATATTCATGTGTTTCTCTGTCGTCCTTGTGTTTGACAACAGGGCTGCTGAGGCCGCTGTCCGTGTCTGTATGTGCCCGGACACCACAGACCTGTCAGTCCAGCCTCGTCCAGTCTGCGCATCTCTGCAGTTCTTTTACAGCCGCTGTCCGTGCTCCTCTCCAGGGTACAGTGTGGCAGACACCACGCTACAACATACTGCAGAGGTAAGGAGTGAAGGAATAGAAATATGAGGGCGGTGCATTTGAGTAATTAAGCTCCCCAAAGTAACAAGCTAGGTTAATGTTCGTACAGGTTTTCCTCCAGGAAACCGTTTCACCGAATTGATAATCCGAGCTAATCTCATCTTGTGACACTTTTGTTGGTAGTGGACAGCCGGTATACAGCAGAGAGGACTTGCAGTGACACAGCACCTGCTTTCCACGCTCACTGGGAGTGTTTTGTAGTTATTTGTTTCTACTGTTGGCAAAAGACGTCTTTATTTCGGATATAAAACACAAAAAAACTGAGATGACTAAAATGTGACTTCAACAGCTGCATCACAGAGTCTTTATAATGTAAGCACTTTGCAGCGGGTCTGAAAAACAGTAGAGTTTTCTATTATTTATTTTACCTAAAATAAATAATTTATTTCACCTTTTTGGTCCCCCATTTTTTTCTTCATAATTTCCTTAATTGTAAAGGCAAAACAAATTCAATGATGTGCTGGGAACTGACATGACAGCATGTCACAGCTGCTGCAGATTTGTCCACTGCACATCCATGATGTGAGTCTCCTGCTCCACCACATCCCAAAGTTGCATTCTGGTGATGATGGAGCCATTTGCATACAGTCATTCTCATTGTCATGTTCAAAGATATGAGTTTGAGAAGATTTGAGCTTTGTGACATGATGCTTTATCCTGCAGCCATCAGAAGATGAGTACAGAGGTCAGAAAGGAAGGGACGTGGTCAGCAGCAATGCTCAGCTTAGTTGGTGCTAAGGGCTCAAAATGTGCCAAGAAAATATCCCCACACTATTCCAACATCAGCAGCAGTGTCAATAGTTGATACAGGGCAGGTTGACCTGTTTTCATGTTGTTTACTCATATTCTGACCCTACCATCTGAATGTGAAGCAACTATCAAGACTCATCAGACCAGGCAAGCTCTTTCCTGTCTTCTGTTGTCCAATTTTGGTGACCCAGTATTAAGTGTAGCATCAGTTTCCTGTTCAGAGATGCTCTTCAGCACAGCTTGGTCATAATAGTGGGCATTTGAGTTACTGTTGCTTTCCTATCAAGTTTAAGCAGTTTGGTCATTCTCCTATGACTTCTGGTATTGAAGCATTTCCACCCAAACTGCTGCTCACTGGATACTTTCTCTTTTTAGCTCATTCTCTGTAAACCATAGAGATGACTGTTTGGGTAAATCCCAGCAGATTAGCAGCTTTTTAAATATTCTGACCCTTCTGACACAAATAACCATGCAACCATGTTCAGAGTCACTTCTTCCTCATTCTGATGCTCTGTTTTAATTTCAGTACATCCTCTACATGACAAAAGCCACTCAGTTGCTTCCATATGAGTGGATAATTATATATTTGTGTTAACAAGCTGGTGAACAAGTGTACAAAGTAAGTATGTTTTTTGTAACAGCTGTTCTGCTTCTCTCTGTTGTTGCAGGGTGTCGGCACTTGTTCCTAGTCTAACTCAGCAGCCAAGCAGAAGTCTGACTTACTATAGTGTCAAGAAGGGGAAGAGAAAGAGTGTAAAATCTGTCACAGATAGGTTCATGAGGCTGCACTGTGGCCTTTGGATCCGACGCAAGGTTTGTATGTGTTACAGCTGCTTGAATCATATGTTAATTGTAGGTAACGTGTTAAATTTAACTTCTTGATTTTGAATATGAACAGGCTGGATACAAGAAGAAGCTCTGGAAGAAGAAACCTGCCAGACGAAAGCGCCTCAGAGAGATCGTATTCTGTAGCAAAACACAATGCAAGCTTTTAGATAAAATGACAACCTCATTTTGGAAAAGGAGAAACTGGTACGTCGATGATCCATACCTGAAGTACCACGATCGGGTCAACCTCAAACCCTAATTTGCTGATTCACGTAATGACATCTTGTCTTCTGCTTCCAATGTAATGATGTTGTATATGTGTCAAATAAATCATCACATTTTGCCTGTACGTTTTCTTTTAAAGCAAATACGCAGAAAAAAGAACAGACACAAAAGTTCTGCTTTATATTTAATGGTTGCAAGTTGATTTCACCAACAGAAATATTTAAACAAGTGAAACAAATTGATAGTCATGAACCAATATGCCATCACATCACGTCTTTTTGTTTCATAATTCACAATTAAGTTTAAGTTGAATTAACTTGACATTCTGGCCTGCCAGAAAAAAAATCTGAGGATACGTTAGTACAATGACTTGCGTGTCTCCCACTGCTTAAAGTGTTAAGTGGCTAATTTACCAGTTAATAAGACATGTTTGTATGTATATATTTATTTAACCAACTGATGGCCATAACATTTCTTTTTATAAATCAACTGAAGAAGAAAATGTTTACCACCAAGGCATCTGAAGAGGCCAACAGCTTCACACAAAAGCACTTAAGAAATCAAATTCTCATACAAATTAATAACAAAACATCATGCAATGATGACTTCATCGATCTACACACAAGTATACAGATCTGCAACTTTGTAACATGTTTTTTCCTGTTTTGCTTTGAATGAATTTCAAAGAAATCACCTCCAACACTACCACAGATACTACTAATGCTTAAACACATCATTTGATTCCCCCCACCCCCCATTTTTTATAACCT